TATTTTAGTGTAAATGAAGAAAAGAGAGTAGTTGTTGCTCCAGGGATAGAGTTTACTTCCCAATAATGTGACACAGGTACGAATACAAAGATAAATGGTACCAAAATTTTAATAATTGTCTTAAAATTTTGTAACTTTTTTTTTATTTAAAAAACTAAATGTTTATAATTTTTTATTTATTTGATTAGCAAATATTATATAGCATATGAAAATTTTGGCTTTTCATTCATTATTTTCATGCTGTGCTGTGAAAATAATGAATTATGGCATGGAACGAAATGTTAAGAATATTCAATTTTTAAATTCTTTTTTTTCTGTGAGTGTCATACTTTTTCTTCTACTTTTATCCAACTTCAGTTGTCAGTCATTTAAAAAAGTTGTTCAATCAAGGTTTTATTTTATTTATTTGCAATAGTATAGGGCAAAGAAAGGGAACATTTTTACTGTGAGAGGCCCCATTTAAATTAGGCATAGGTAAAAGAGTTGATGTCATGAGTTGATAAGCACATATTTTAAAATTGAATGCGACTTTTTTTGAAATTATTATAGTTTTAGTTTAGTTTATCACTTTACATAGAAATTATGCAAAAAACATTAAGTCATTTCTTGAAATAAAATTTACAGTAAAAAATAATCTTTTAATAAATAGCTACGTATGTTTGTGTATATTGCTACAAGCATATACAGATAAATACATACCACCAACATGAGAGTTGCTATTAGTTAGGAAAATAGTTACTGCCTGTCACTCAGAACATCACAGTGTTAGTGTATTTTAGAGCCGTGACCGAAAAGATTTTCTGTTGTTGGCAAATTGGAAAGTGTGCCACAATAATTTCAGACTGAAAAATTGCTAGAACTACACCACAACTAATTCATGTCATGCTCAACAGATGGTAGCACATTATTTATTTCTATTAATTTTCAAACTGTTATAATCTATATAATTAAATATCAATTAATAAAAGAGTCACACAAGAAACTCATGGAGGCCTTCGTTTCTCCACCTTTTGTATAATGTGTAGCACCTTTAAGTTCCTTACCATTTGACGATGTCATTTTACGAGCTATAACTACTGACTTACCACAGTTTTAAAATTCATGTATGTGTTCAATTAAAACAATATAAATCATGTTAATGTTTAATTATTTTGTGCAAACATTGTTCAAATTTTTGCATTGAAAATTGAGATGTTATCGTTTTTTTAATTAGTTACTTATTAAATTCTTTGCATTTTATTAATTTTTTAATGTTTTGTTATGAATATATATCATAAATCTTACTTTAATTTTACCATCCTCCATTTAAGGATCCAAATTTCATGATGCACAAATCCATATAAAAAATATGGAATATTCTTCCATCATTGGAGGGTTTTCAGTTGTACTATCAAATGGTCAAGCTGTTCTATTACTGCTACTACATTGAAGTTTGAGCCTCATGTATGTAATGATTCCTTTTTGTTGTGTAAATTATTAAAAGTGTATGTACACATAAAAATTTATTGTATAAAATGTTTTGATAGTATTAAGTAAGAAAAAATATTTTCTTCACCTTACATTTATATGTTAATTTTAAGTTTTGAAAGTTCATAGCTCTTTCCTGGAGCAAAATTATATCTAATCTTTAAAACAAAACTTTTGACAGTTGCAAATGTTTTGTGAGTATTGCCAAATATAAACGACTCTCATTAATTAAACCATTACCATTATTTTTAATGACCAATAATTTTCTTTCTTGCACCCTGAATTCTCAAAAAGAAGTCTTAATTAGTTGTATATAAAATTATGTTTGCATGCTTACTTAATGAAACAGAAATTGTTTACAAGAAAGAAGAAATGTTGCAAAGAAATGTGAATAAATTGTATACTTAAATTGTAATTTATATTACAATTTATGTGAAGCATAATTTGTGCTGTGACATATATCATAGTTTTGTGCATTTCTGTTTTAGGAACCTAGAGTAAATAAGCAAAACTTGTAGTTTTATTCAATTTATGTAAAACTTTAATGTAGTTTTTTCTGATGTACATATATTCAAATAACTAATGATAAAAACAATATAGCTTAAAGAGGTTTTATCAATTGAATGCCTTTATTAAACCCCCAACATTTTTGACTTGTGTAGAATATTTTTTTCAGTGGCAGTGAATTAAAACAGAAGTATTTAAAATGGAATAAAACTTTAGAGAATAAAAAACAAAAGACATAAAATACGGAAATTCTGAAGTTGTCAAAGAATATGCTTTTATTTATGATATTCATTCAATCACACGTTTTTATAAATTCAAGAAAAATTTTATTGTTTGAGTTTTTAAATTTGTTATCAATATCAAGCTTTTTTTATCTAATTATTTTTAAAATATGATATGGTTTTAAGTAGATTTTTTCCAGCAATTATTATTTATGATAAGAGTTTAGTTTTTTTTTCTTAGTAACTATTTTGTATTTCTTGCAGCAAGTTTTTGGAATCTTTGCTAATGATGTTCAGAATGCTACTTGTACAGCTGTGAATCATAGGTTTCGACTCATTGTTTATGGGCAAACAAAGTATGCCTAATTTTTTTTAAATTATCTGCACTATCGATAGTGTTTTGTATTTTTATTGCTAAGTTTATTTATTATTGAGTTCAGAGTTATTAATGATTTTTTTTTGAAATTTGAAATAACTGTTGTAACTTTTCTCATAAATTTCCTTGTGAGAATGAAATACGTGAGCCTTTGTATGGCTGTTTCTTTTCATCTTTTGCAAGAGCAAAATTATATCATTGCTAGTTTTTTTTAATATATCAATTGTTTTTTTAACCTTTGCCTGTAATCTGTCAATTGTTGTATGACAAGCAGGACAATATAATAAAGAAAAATTAAAACAATATTCAAAGGAATTGTCAGTGCCATAAAATAGAAAATTATTGAGAATATTAGAGCATATACTGAGGTTCTCTTCAGTCATAGACATGTAGTGGTTGCAAAGAAAGCAGGTTTTTGTATAAAAAAGTTCCATTTTATACTGATATGATGGTTTTGCGAGATCTATTATTTATTAAAAGATCCTGAAAAAAAAAATATATATATTCTGTCATGACTTAAATTGTTTTATTTGAATAAAAGGAATTACAATCTTATAAAAATTTTACTTGCATATCTTGTTAGAAAATTAGATTAAGGGCTATTTCTAGTTCTAAACAAATGAATAGAAATGATATTATTATGCAAATCTGTGACAGTTTTTTTCCTTGTACAAATATTTGTTTTTTGTTTAAAAGGGAATAAATTAATTGACAGAAAAATAAATAAATTTGATCTTTAATGTATGCTTGAATTGTCGTTCCTTTCATTTCCCAGTTCATGGAAAATCTAACTAATCATCATCACTTAATCATCGAATACTTTATCTCGAATCCCTTTATTTAATTAAATGTCATTAAACTATTTTTACCTAAAGATTGTAGTTAATTTTTTTATTAAATAGTGTTTGTTTTGATCGTTGTTTCCCTTAGAAGCATATTATCCTTAAAATTCTATTTTATGGACTTGTTGAGATTGTGAAAATACTCAACCATTATATTACAATTCTTATAACAATGTGATTATCCATACTTCTTAATTTTTTGTTATCTAAAATTTTTTTAAACTATGCTTTTTTTAATTATATGCTTTTTTAATACAATTTCAGTGCTCAAGGGATCATTTTCTGCACTGACGATTTAACAGGTGCTCTACAATCCACACATCAATTAGTATTATCCAGTAAAGATTTTCCTGGTAAACTAATCATTCTTATTATCTGTAATTTAAGTTTTTCGCACCTTTATTGGTTCTGTTTGTTTGCTTTAATGAAAGGTTTCTAATGTATATAACTAGATGCTGAAACAGCTGCTGGAGCCGTATCAAATTTGAAATGGACTCATGATGGAGGAGCTCTTGCTATGACATGGGAAAAAGGTGGCTTTGCAATTTGGAATGTGTTTGGTGCCTTACTGATGTGTAGTCTTGGTTGGGATTATGGGTAATTGATATTTCGAACATAATAATAAATAATTGCCTAATACTTACTGTAATTTATGGTATTAATTAATGTAATTAAAATTGGAGATGAAGGAAATTTTACTGTTGGAACAGTAATCTCAGGGTATATATCAGTATTTTAGTCTGTGTAAAATTACCTTATACATTGGTCTCATTTTAATCCTTATAGTTATCTCAAACTAGCCTCAAAGTACGTCTCAAGTTTTTAATTTTTATTAAACTGTACTTTATTTTAAAATGTTTTCTATTCTCTTAAAATTGATTAACTTATGGTTCTTTTTATTGATGATATAATCCATAAATGACAATTTTTTTTATTTTATCCATGGTTAAATAAATAAAATGATAAAACTAAAGTAAAAGTTTTTTTTTGTATTATTACTGATTAGCCTGTATAAGTTGCTGTAATAAATTTATGTCTAATTCTGAAAATTGCATTTTCTGAAAAATAGTATAGTAGTTTTCTTTTTGTAGAAATGCTGTGACCTATCTATATCTAAAAGTTAAATTATCACAATGTTTTGCGTGATTGTGGTGCAGTGTATACTGTGATTTTATTTTTTCTATAAGCTTCCCATGAGAAGATCCACTATTGATTTATTCAAAATTAATATTTCAGAAAATATTAATCAAAAGTATTATTCTAAAATCCCAAACTTATATTAAATATTTTGCTTCGAAATTGGTATTCCCATTTTTAACTATTTTTAAATTTATTTTTTATTAAAATATGGCATGATATGTTTTTAAATGAAAATAAGCTGTCCGGCATCATTATCTACGTGTGAGGTAATTAATACTAATTGGTTACTTTTTCTCCCTTGCTTTTATCTATATTTTTTTGAAAATATTTTATTTTCGAATTGCCAAAAAATTAGAAAATAACTTCTTTTTCCTTCACATTTTGATTCAGTTTCTTTAGTCACTTTTTTAAAAATTAATANTGCAGGTTAATATTTTTTGGAAATATCATTTTATGCTTTCGTGCATTTGTCGACAGTGAAAAGAGATAATCCTCATTAGTTACTTAGAATAGTCTCAGTAAGGCATTTTAATTGTACTATTGACAGAAATTTTCAGTTTTTTACTACACTTTTTACTTTTAACACAAAACAAGTACTTGGTTTTGGTCCTCAAGGCATAATTGAAAGCCTTGCCATTTTGCAATTGAAAGATGATTCGCTATATACTAGTTTAAAAACTAAATAACTTGTATAAGAAAAAATGCTAATTGTTTTTTTCTAACTGATAGCAGTTTTTTTAAAAAGGAGATAAAAAATTATAGCTTTAAAATTCCAATGTCTAGAAATGCTAATTCAATTGTCTAAAATTTAAACACTTCTTTTTTTTAATTTAAAAAATGTTCTGTAGCCAAAACACTTGCAGTTCAAGAATTTACTTAAAAATCAAAGATGCAGAAATTCATTTAGACTTAAAGGAATAGAACTATTTTTCAAAAGAGAAAATTAAAATTTTTTTTCATTAACCTATAAACTGATACTATAAACCAAATGGTGTTTTACTGTGGCCTTTCAATGAAGGTTGTACTCCCCTAATCTAAATATTTTTTTTCACGTTATGTAATTTAATTATTGAAAACCAATTTCATGAAATAGCTTTCCAACACAAAAATATTTCATATTGATTGAATTTAAAATAGAAAAATTATCTAGCTGTATAATTTAAAAACAATTCTTTTTAACCAATTGCTTTTTTTGTGGCTTTTTAAAGAAAATTTGTCTTGTATTCTTTTAGTCTTGTGTGTATTCGAGATGAGCTTATGGTTACCACTCTAGATGGTCATTTTTGGCGGGTAAGATGGGATGCCAAATTAGAGGAGGATTACACTCCAATTTTATGCAATATTTCATTTCGCTTAGATCAGCTGCAATCTAGAGGTAAGTTTTCTTTGTAACAAGAATTCAAAAGATTCTTTTAGTGTGCAAAGCATATTTATTCATTACCTTGTGCTCAATATACACTGAATTTTAGTCGGTTGACTTATAGAAGCTAAACAAATCAGTGGTTGTCCAAAGAAAAATTAGAGAGGTAAAGAAGCATAAGTGAGGTCTTGTGCTCTTTTAAAGAGTAAAAAGGCTGAAAGAAGAACCTTTAGTTGAAATTTATTAAAGAGAGATAAAGTACAACCACCCAAAAAGAAGAAAAAAATTTAAAATAGGATCCTGGAGATCCTTAGAAAATTATATGAATTTTTAAAATTTGCGTGTTGTAATAATATTAACTAATAACTAATAATATTTGAGTTAAAAAAATTATGTGAAAATGGTTAAGCAACAATAAAAAGCATGTTCAGAAATCAATGTGGATTCAAATTCCAAATTCCCGTGTCATAATAGTCACTTGTCATTGTATTAAAAGCATCAGCATTAAAAAAGCTATGTGGAACAATGATAACTTCAGAATATGGTGTGAATGTACAATAGAGTTGTTGAAAACTGTGCTCGTCAAAAAGGGATAACTCAAATTTGAAATTTGCTTATATTAAAATTTTAAGAATTGTTTTTTTTAGCCATTACTATGTGTTTCAACAAACACATGGTAATGGCTAAAAGAACATTATATAACCTACTGAAAAAATTATCAACAAGCAACTTAGATTTTTATGATGTAGTCGAGGTGAATCAAGCATATCAAAAAGAAATAACTCAAATTTAAAAAATTTTTGTGTTGTAGTAACCTCAAAATTTAAAAAATTATGTTGAAATGGTCGAAAACGATAAAAAATTATTCGTATTTACGATGAAATCGTTGTGTAAGAAGTGCATTTAAAATGTGTTGAATAAATTTGAAATCCTTTTTTTTTAATAAGATTGTATTGAAGACATTGGAAATTTAAAAATAAAAAAATATGAGAAACGACGGGAATTCACTTAGAACTGTTAAAAATCAAACATGTAAAAAATTAATAACTCAAATTTGCATATTTTCGTAACATGGTAAACATAATGGAATTCAATAAGAAAATAAGACAGATTTAGGAGGAAATTGCCTCTAATGAGGTGCGTCAAAAGTGCTAATTCAAATTAAAAAACTTTTTTGTCATAATAAAGTCAATGGAATTTGATGAAAAAAGAAAATATGTGGAAGTGGCTGAAAAAACGATCGTAAGTGCTGCAAAATCGGAAACGGTGGAATTGTTTAAAACTAAACGCTTAAAAAATGACTAATATTCAAAATCTGTGTGCTTTGTAATACTGTATTAAAAATATTGAAATCTGAAAAATTATGTAGAAATGCCTAAAAATGAGCGAAAAACCATATGGATTTTGAAAAAATTGGTGGAGATAGACCTTTTTAGTTAATTTTTTATTTTTTATTTATCAGGCAGGTATTTTCTAAAACTGTCCACAAGATATTAAATAAATGGATTAATGCCGATTATATTTGATATTAAGTGATAATTGGTTTCTTTCTTTCTAGAGGCTGATCCGTAAAACTATTTAACTTATCATGCTTGCGCTACAAGTATATCTTGCTACAGTATATCGAAAGGAAAAGATTGTCTCAGCATTGAAAGATTTAAGTAAAGATATCAGAATCAAGCTGGATTTTGGAGCTGTAAGTTTTCTTTCTTTTTAATAGAAATGTATATGTAAGTACTTAATTGAACATGAAATACTTATATTGCAAATTTTTGATTAATTTAGACTCTCCTACAAACAGGAAATGTTTATTTGAAAAAATGAAGACTCGATGATTGACTATGGAAGTGTGGTATGTAGGCTTAAAGCTCTTGCATAATGTTATTTTTTTAAATATAGATTTAAAACACTAAAATTCTTTTTTTCTTTCAAATTTTATTTCTGCAAATTTTTAAAATGTCGTGTAATTCTAGTATTTATTTTTTAATATAAAATTTTAGATTCATACTATATTTTCTGGTATGATTGAATTTTTCAATATATATATTTTTTCTTTAAATTAACACTCGTTTTAAATAATCGATTATGAATACAAATTTCCTTTAAATTTAAATACTTTTATATTTAAGAAAATTGAAGAAATTTTGGTTTGAAGTGATAAATTTCTACAAATAAAACATTCTGCTACCATACATAAAATTTAATTTAAAATAAGAATTCAATCAATGAATAAAAAAGATTTTTTTTGCCTCCTCCACATTATTGTAATCTTTTTTTCAAAAGCATGCACTAGAAACATTTGGCCCAGGTATTCACGTATTTCTGTACTCCACTATTTGACCTTGATGTTGAAAGTCATTAGAACTCAAGAAATTTAATCTTTTGTTTCCATTTTTTCTTTTTCAAATCTAGAATTACAATTACTAAATTCCTTTGATATAATTTGGTACGAAAAATAGGTTATTTCTAGGATTATTATTAATAGAGGTTCAATTTTTTCGACTGAGGGAGATTCATTGCTCTCATTTTTTATTATGATTTTCAAACATTTTATTTCTTCATTAGTATAATTTTTAAAAGAAATTGAATCTGTACTGTGAATTGTACAGCTTTATCAGCATGAATTATTTTTATTTTATTTCCTTTTCTTTTTATCTCTTTTTTAAATTTTTTCTTCTTCGTAATTTTACATCAAAGTCACTGATAGCTGTTCTGATTTTAAATTATGTTTAAAGTTTGAATTATTTTCAGTTCTTTTAAAAAGCTAGGATCTTTAGAAATTTTTCTAGTACTCACTTTGATTGAAGGTAGAATCAGTTGGTCTATTCATGGTAAAAAAATAGCAAAAACATGAATGATACAAAAAAAAGAAAAAAAAAAGGTTTGAATCTTTGAAACAAATGTTGAAATTCAGAAAGTTGAAAAGAAATTGCGACTTACCAGAATAATGTCCATATAATACCAATATATTAGGATAGTTTCTGTAATAGTGTAAAAATTGATTTTATTTAGCAGAACAAAATTTGTCGCTAAACTAGGTTGTACACTTTAATCTCTAAACTATTCAATAATCAGCACGCTTAAAAAAAATTCTAATTTTTTTAAATAATTTTTTTTCCAATATGCTATTTTAATTTATTTTATTATTAAATATTTTTT